CAATGACATAAGCATAGATATAATATAACACGTGTTATATGATATCTATGGACATAAGGAAATGCTCTGATGCTATGGTGAATTTTGAACTCCTCGCGACATATAGTGTGAAAAATAATTATAAAGGGCGCATAATTATATGGAATAATCCTGATGGATATACATTAACATCGGGTGACGATGTGACGGGCTTCTCTCTCGCGAGATCTGGACGGACGGACGGATAAAGCTGCACAGACTTCATTGTCAGTTTATTAGATTTTCAGGATTTTAAGATATTTAGTTGGTTAGACTTAATGTATTTGTGGTTAAAATTCTGTTCATTATAGATTCTGTAATTTTGTGATATAAGGGGCAGATAAATATATTATGAAAATGTGGTGTCCCGCTTTTTAAATGGGTTGGAGTATAGAGGATTGAATCACCAGGTATAAAATCTGAATCAATCGTAAATGTTGACATGTATATATTATGTTAGATGCTACTGTCTTGCATCAGTAAGTAGCATTGACGCTAACCCATAAAACGTGTTTTGTAGTTGGCTATTAATATTGTATAATATTACAGTAGTGGACGTTTATTGACTTTATTCTTTACGGACTGTCCAGTATAGAAGTAGAAGTAGAAGTAGGGTCCATACGTACACGCACTCGCGTACGCACGCACGCGCGCACGCCTGTACACACGGTATAAATCTGCCGGTGTTTTCTAGCATTACCGATATATTGCCGGTGCTAGATTGTGTGTTATAGTGTTATCTAACGTATGCTGACTGTTGGGAAGTTTTTTGTGAGCATCAAAGCAAACTCGAATTTGGATTTAGCCAGGCATTCGACGAATTGGTTTGCGAACGAAACTTTAGGATTGTTTCAATTTGTGTTCGAAACTCAGCAGTGCTTTGTGTAGTATGTCGACTGACAGTATGCACTTGGTACTCACATTAGGGAGGTAGCGAAAGAGAGGGAGAGACAGTCAGACAGAGTATGTGTATAACATAGTATTATGTATATAACATAGTATTGTGTATATAACATAATATTGTGTACGTTACATAGTATTATGTGTATAACATAGTATTGTGTACGTTGCGTTACATAGTATTATGTATATAACATAGTATTATGTTCATTACATAATATCTTGTCACGCTACATTGTGCCATGTGTGTATAAATACATAGTATCATATGTATTAAATAGAATCGTGTGTACATTACATTGTGCTGTGTATGAATACATAGGAGCGTATGTATTACATAGCGTCATGTATAATTTACATTGTGCCATGCGTGTTGCATTTCTTTGTTGTGTTATATTTGCAGCGTCGTCAATCAGTGCCCATTTTACTCGGTAGCTGTCGCGACTGCACTGCGCATGCGTCGTGCGATTACACTGATGACGTAAGATGAGATGTGTAATGAAACGAAGCTACTATACGACATGCCGCGTTTGCTCACCATTATTTCAACTAATCTGTATATATGTAAATAGCTGGTTTCTATGCCATGAATAAAATTACAATTTCTAGAACACCATGCCGCCTGTTTGTTTTATTAGTTTTCTCTCTTTAGCGCACGTGCGCACGTCACTCGACTCTCTCTCTCTCTCTC